TGTTTCACTTTCTCTTGGCACCTTTTACTCCCTCATCTACAATAACGCGGTAACTTTCTCTCAAGTCTCCACTGTGGCTGTCTTGTATTAATCAAGAAGTAAAACAAATTTTTGATGAAGGTGCAAAGACCATTCAATAGGGAGAGAGTAGTCTTTTCAACAGTGATGTTGGGACAATTGGATATCCACAGACAGAAAAATACTAAAGTTGGGCCTCTACCTCAGACTGTATGCAAAACTTAACTCAGGGACTTACCTGGCGGCCCAGTGTGACCACTCTGTGCTTCCAGCGCAGGGGTTGCAGGATTAATCCCTGGTTGGGGAACTAAGATCCCACGTGCCATGGGGCATCAGTTCAGTTCAATTCAGTCACTCAGTCGTGTCTGACTGTTTGTGAACCCATGGACTGCAGCACACCAGGCTTCCCTGTCCACCACCAACTCCTGCAGCTTACTCAAACACATGTCCATCGAGTCAGTGATGCCATCCAACCATCTCATCCTCTGTCGTCCCCTTCTCCTCCCACCTTCAATCTTTTCCAGCATCAGGGTCTTTTCCAATGAGTCAGTTCTTCACATCAGGTGGCCAAAGTATTTGAGTTTCAGCTTCAGCATCAGTCCTTCCAATGAATGTTCAGGACTGATTTCCTTTAGGATGGACTGGTTGGATCTCCCTGCAGCCCAAGGGATTCTCAAGAGTCTTCTCCAGCATCACAGTTCAAAAGCATCAATTCTTTGGCACTCAGCTTTCTTTATAGTCCAACTCTCACATCCATGCATGACTACTGGAAAAACCATAGCCTTGACTAGACAGGCCTTTGTTGGCAAAGTAATGTCTCTCCTTTTTAATATGCTATCTAGATTGGTCATAACTTTTCTTCCAAGGAGCAAGGATCTTTTAGCTGCAGTCACCACCTGCAGTGATTTTGGAGCGCCTCAAAATAAAGTCTGTCACTGTTTCCACTTTTTCCCCATCTATTTGTCATGAAATGATGGGACCAGATTCAAAAATAAATACATAAATAGTAATAATGATAAAACAATAATTTAAAAAATTATCAATATGGATCAAAGACCTAAATGTACAAGCTGACACTATAAGATCAGTAGGAAAGAACATGGAAGTAAACTTTAGTGACCTTGGGCTAAGTCACCAAAAGCTCAGTGACTAAAGCAAAGATTAAAACATTGGACTTCATTGAAAGTAAAACTATTTGTGCTCAAAGGACATCAGGAAAGTGAAAAAACAACACAAAGAATGGGAGAAAATATTTAGAAATGATATATTTGATAAGAAACATTTATCTAGAATACATAGAGAATCCTTTTTACTCAATAATGAAAAGACAAATTGCCCAATCTAAAAAGAGGCAAAGGACTTTTTTCCAGATAAGGCATACAAATGGCCAATAAGTTCATAACAGATTATCAATATTACTAGCCATTAGGGAAATGAAAATAAAACCCACAATGAGAGACCACTTCATACCCACTAGGGTGGCTATAATCTAAATAACAGACAAAAACAACTGTTGACCAAGATGAAGAGAAATTATATCTTACATGTAACACTGGTGGGAATGGAAAATGGTATAGCTGTTTGGAATACAGTCTGATAGTTTTCCTCAAAATGTTAAACAGAGTTACTATATGACCTAATAATTTCAATTCTATGTATATAACAAAGAGAAATAAAGATGTATGTCTACAGCAAAACCTATATATTAAGTTGGCCAAAAGTCCATTCAGGTATTTCCATAAATGGAAACATTATGCTAAATGAAATGAGGGCAGCACAAAAGATTATGTATTGTATGATTCTATTTACATGAACTATCTGAAATAGGTGGAGAAGGCAATGGCACCCCACTCCAGTACTCTTGCCTGGAAAATCCCATGGATGGAGGAGCCTGGTAGGCTGCAGTCCATGGGGTCGCAAAGAGTCAGACACAACTGAGCAACTTCACTTTCACTTTTCACTTTCATGCATTGGAGAAGGACATAGCAACCCACTCCAGTGTTCTTGCCTGGAGAATCCCAGGGATGGCGGAGCCTGGTGGGCTGCCGTCTATGGGATCGCACAGAGTTGGACACGACTGAAGCGACTTAGCAGCAGTAGCAGCAGCATCTGGAATAGGCAAATCCATAGAGACCAAGCAACCAAATGGCTGCCTAGGAATGGGGGGCATAGAGGGAGGAACACAGTGAGGAGTTTGTGGGAGGCAGGACAGTCATGGCTGAGAGTTATGGGGGTTTGGCAGGGGTGAAGGCTTTAGATAGTGATGATGGTTGTACAACTTTAAGAATATACTAAAAACCACTGATTCGCACACTTTAAATGGTGAATGATGATATTTTAATTACACCTCAGTTAAAAAGTGTAAAAGAGGAGGAGAAAAAGGAAGGAGAGAAGAAGAAGAAAGAAAGAGGAAGGGACAGAGAAGGAGAGAGAGAAGGAAAGCAGCAAATGTTAAATGTAGAATTACCAGACAGTAGTAAAGAAGGACCATGAGTTCCAAGAATTCAGGAAAATGACTGGAAGGTAAGCTGACCATCTCTTCAATAAAGATTAGATTCATTGAAACTCCAGACTCACGTGGTCCTTTCAACTTATCACCCTGATGGCAGGGACTGTCTTAAACTGTACTCACCAACTTCCAGTCCGTTCGTAACATAACACCCCCCATGCTGTGGGGGCTATAGGTTTGGGTAGATAATTTGATGTGCCCTAGACCAGGTGGTGTGTGCTCCCCAGACTTTTTCTAAAATTATGACTTAAATCTGGAAAAAATTTTCAACAATTAGAGCATGCACTCACACAGTAAAATAATCATGGAGTAATAACTAATTTTGACATAGTACAAAATACATATTCAGCCAGGATGACCTATTTCTCTTCTGAACGTCTCTAAGCTTGAATTTCAACTCTCTCTGTGGTCTTAACTGCACCCTCTCTTCTATTATGCTACTTTAAGGTCTGGATTGTTCTACTGATAGACTAGAAGTCCTTCAGTGAAGAATCATCACTGTATGCTGGGGGGCCTAGCCCAGGACCTGCCAACAGAGCTTGGGCTCTGTTTATGGGTGGACAAATCAATGAACCGCCAATTCCACTTGGAACTGGACAGAGGACACATATAAAGAACTGAAAGAAAAAATATATCTATAAGCATGTTACTGATGTCAGAAGCAAAGGGAATTTGTAGCTTCTGCCCTTCCTGTTTCCCCAGCCTGTTTCCCAGAGACACAGCCACAGTCCTCTGCTGTGCTGGAGCGGCTTCTGTTACTGTTTTTGAGCAGCTGTGCCATGGGGCACAATTGGACCCTGTTCCCTCTACAACACTAGGTAGATTTTGGAAATTGTTGAAAACTCTGACTGGTCTTAATGTTTAACCACCCGGAAGCAGTTGACTTCCTCTATAGACATTCTTTGAAACACAGATGAATCCAGAATTCAGGATGTAGATGAGTCATTTTCTTTCTGGATCTCCCACGGCCTCCTCGAGAGTACTTCTTATGAGGCTGCTACAAACCCCCGTGTCAGAACTCTCCATGGCTTCCTCCCACAGAGAAGCACGTTCAAGGGAGTCCTGTGGGGTGTGAGTTGTTCAAGGGGAAAGCTAAGCTTTGTACAGGATTGAAAGAGCCCCGGAAATCTGTGAAGCTCTTCTGCTGCTGTTGCCTATGTTCATAGACTTTGGTACTATCTGCTTTCTCATCCCATAGCAGGCAGAAAATATTTTCAGAAATTTTTTGTTTGCACACAAAAATGGTATTTAGATTTTACTTTTGGAGAGGGGAATGCAGAATTCTGTGGAAGAATTAAAATGCATCCAATACACTTTAAGATATCTTTAGAAATCTAATGTCTATTAGGTTACAGGAAGTGTGATTTCTCCAAGATTTCGTTTGCTCACAACTTATCACATTGGATTTTTTCTTTCATTCCAATAATATGTTCCAACCACTTGTAGACTCACAAAGTGTTTTTTCAGGCTGCCCTCAATTACTGCTCAGCAGATGACTCTGAACTTCATTTCAGGGACAAAGAAAGAGGCTGAGAATGGTGTGGTGACCTCCTGAGCTCACACACAGGTGACAACAGACCAGGACACCAAAATCAGCAACCAGGCTTTGGACTGCATAATTTTTATTTAACCTCCCACATTATCCCATTATACTTAGATGTTTGAAGGCCAGATCCCTGGGGGAGAAAAGCATAACAATTTGAGGACATATTTTCCAAAATTAATATTGACAGGGAAAAAATATCCTGAAAATGTGAAGAGGAGGCATATGGCGGTTTCAATCTCTCTCTGTTTGGTTCATAATCACATTTCCCTTCTGATCACAGAGCAGAGATTTCCTCTGCCTCAGAGTGAATGTACAGATAACGGGATCCCCAGGTTTTGGGTCTAGGATTCAACAAACATCCTACCATGACAAAGGTTCACTGCTTTCCATACTGGCATAAAATGGAAATGCTCTAACATTCCCATATGCAAACAACTTGCCAAAACGGTGTCGTGTTTCAAAAGCCATGTTCCAAACAGAGACAAGATCTCAGTACAAGCTGTGGGAGCAGGGTGAATTTATGGAGCAGAAAGTATGGGCTGAGGAAGAGATCAGCTCGGTAACAGTTTACTGGCCTTGCTGTTCTCTTAAGAGGCACTAATGGTAGTGGACTGGTGCAATGGAAGTAAACCCAGCTTCACTTAAAGCAGTAGCATGAAATTGGTTGCAATAAAATTATGCATTAAGTGTGCATTATGTTTAATAAGACTGGATTGCACTCCCCATGTTTACTCTGTGACTATTGAGGCTGATCCAATTTTCTAAAGTTCTCCAATTGGTTCACGATCGAGTTTCCGGCCAGAAGGTCAAATTTCCCATGCTGTTATTATATGTCTCTATTACTTTACTATGGCATTTACACTTTATATTCATTACTTTTTTTTTTCTGTCTCTTGAAACTTCCCTATTCCAAAATGTTCCCTGTAGATGGCCCGTTTGACACAAATGAGAACAACCTTGATAGCTGTCAACTGGAGACTATCTGAGAACAAAAGGACATTACTGCAAACCAGGGCTGGAGGTAATTTCTTGTGCTTTCTCTGAAGGCTTCTTAATGGCCTTTGAGAAATCATACAATTCAGATCTGCAACCCGGAGACAAAAGGATGAATGTTGGACAGCCTAGGAAGTGTATAACTTGGTCTTTAGATTCTACTGTCCAGGGGTTGGAATATTATCATTAGAAAGTAGCAACATCTATTTTCATTTCACCATATGTATATTTATTAATTCATCTAATTAGCAAACATTCATGGAGAATCTACTATGTTCCAGATACTGTGAATGTGATGGGAATGTACACTAATTAATAAGGCATGATCCTATTCTAATTTTATGGTCTAACAGGGATGGGATGTAGGGAGATTGATACATAAAAATATAATCTCAAGACAGTGAGATAAATGACATATTAGAGGAAAGAATGCAATGCTCTGGCAGCAATAAGGAAGGATAATTAGTTTTTCTGGTGGAGAATAAATAGCCTTGGCAGAAAAGGTGAAACCATTTTATTTAAAAAATGGAAAAGGAGAAATGAAGGACGTAGTGAGCAGAGAGAACAGCATATGCAAGGCAGGAAGATGTGAAAGAGGATGGTATATTTGGGAAATCACAAGCAGATTTCAAGGGGCCCTAAATGGTACAAGGGTTGGGATGGAATATGAAATAATAGGAAATGAAGCCCGAAGGTGAGGAAGGCTTAACTTCAATGACACCGAGGGTTTAGATATTACTCCATAGTCCTGGAGGCATCACTGATAAACTCTCCCAAGTTAATGTTGGTCTTTGATGTCTAAAAACTGGTTTAAATTGAGTGAAAAATAAATAGGACCCTTTAAAAACATCTTTCTGCAAGAATACATTGCACTCGCTCAGTCACTCACTCGTGTCCGACTTTTCATGACCCCATGCACTGTAGCCCGCCAGGCTCCTCTGTCCATAGGCTTTTCCAGGCAAGAATACTGGAGTGAGTTGCCATTTTCTTCTCCAGGGGATCTTCCCGACAAGGGATCAAACCCATGTCTCCTTTCATTGGTAGGCAGATTCTTTACCACTGAGCCCCTAGGAAATCCCAGAATACATTGAGGGGAATCTAAAATAACACATGGCCTATACATATTTTTGTATACATTTTGCAATATATATGCATGTGATATAGTCATATGCATATAATAGGTATGTATGTGTATTTTATTTTATTGCTTTAAATTTTTATTGGAATAGAGTATTTTATAACGTGTTAGTTTCTACTACACTGCAATGTGAATCAGCTATACATATACATATATCCACTCTTTTGTGGGTTTCCTTTCCATTTAGATCATCACAGAGCACTTAGCAGAGTTCCCCGTGCTATATAGTACATTCTCATTAGTTATCTACTTTACACATTGTATTACTAGTTTATACAGGTCAATCTCAATCTTGCAATTCATCCCACCCCCTCTTTCCACCTTGGTATATACACATACGTTTTCCACTTCCATATCTCTATTTCTTCTTTGTAAATAAGATCAACTATACCAATTTATATATGTATTTTAGATTTATACATGTGCCTTATAACATGGGCTTGACAGTACTCTCCTGTAATCTTTTAAATAGTCACAGAGTTCAACCTTGATGAATTAATGGGTATTGTTTTTACTCTCCTACTGTAAACAACTCTAAAATTGAACATCTAGACATTGCACAGCAAAGAGTTAAAAGCTCTAATTTTAAGAGCAGGGAAACATGTCAGGTGAGCTCCACATTCATCCTAGGTTTCTGCATGGGAGTATTTTTTAAACTTCTGCCCACAGAAGTAGAGCCAAACAAGAAAGCATCAGTCTCCCTAGGCAATGGGTAACATAGATCAGAATTCAGGGCTGCTAAACCCAAGTAAGACGGTAGGTGTTGCGAGAGGGCATTAGAGGGCAGACACACTAAAATCATAATCACAGAAAACTAGCCAATCTGATCACAAGACCACAGTCTTGGCTGACTCAATGAAACTAAACCATGCCGTTTGGGGCCACCCAAGACGGTCGGGTCATGGTGGAGAGGTCTGACAGAATGTGGTCCACTGGAGAAGGGAATGGCAAACCACTTCAGCATTCTTGCCTTGAGAACCCCACGAACAGTGTGAAAAGGCAAAATGATAGGATACTGAAAGAGGAACTCCCCAGGTCGATAGGTGCCCAATATGCTACTGGAGATCAGTGGAAAAATAACTCCAGAAAGAATGAAGGGATGGAGCCAAAGCAAAAACAATACCCTGTTGTGGATGTGACTGGTGATAGAAGCAAGGTCCAATGCTGTAAAGAGCAATATTGCATAGGAACCTGGAATGTTAGGTCCATGAATCAAGGCAAATTGGAAGTGGTCAAACAGGAGATGGCAAGAGTGAAT